GTGTGTGTATTATGGCAAAGCCTCGAAGGCTATCTGCCTAAGAGGAGGGATGCCTTCGTGGAGGACTTTCTAGGGGAAACTGGCACGTTATACACGTTACACATGGGGAAAACCACGAAAACACCCATGCAGACAGCCCGTTTGCGGGATTCGAACCTCGGACCGAACTACCAGTGTTCAGCGACTTTACCGCTCGGCCGCTGGTGGCTTCGAATAATGTCAACGACTTGTCTTCAAAAGTTGTTAGCTACTTTTCGAAGTACACAATAATTTTGAGAATGATTGGGTGGATGTACAGGTTTATAGAAAATTCCCAAAAGAAAAGTGATGAAAAAGGTATGGAGAGCTCAAAGTTCATGAGCTAAAAATAGTAGAAAAATTTACAATAAAGCTCATACAACTCGATTCGTTTTCATCTGAAGATATTAAAAATTTAAAGTCCATTAGTGTGTTTAAGAATGAAGGAATTTTGTGAGTCAAGACAGAATTAACACAGAGGAAAGATTTAGAAAATTTTAAATATCCAATTTTATTGCCAAGTAGACATAAATTAGTTAAACTACTCATCCTAGAACATCATTTGATTTTACATCATGCTGGACTTCATATGCTCTTAACCAATCTTTGAGAGAAATTTTGGATTATAAATGGTAGGAAAACAATAAGACACATTACAAAAGCAATGAGAACTTCCAGAAGACAGAATTAGAGAAGCACCCACTTTTTGAAGTCATTGGAATAGATGTGGCAGACCCTCTTAATTCTCAAAGATGGAACAAAAGTTTGGCTTGCTTTGTATACATATGCTGTATTCAGAGCTATTCATTTAGAACTGCTAACTTCTCTATCTATGAACTGCTTTCTCTTAAGTTTACGAAGATTTATTGCCAGCCATGGACATTCTCAAGTAATATATAGTAATAATGGGACAAACTTCACACGAACAAATAATCTTTTTAATGCTATTGATTGGAAAATGATTGAAGGTGAAGCAGCTAATAGAAGAATTACGTGGAAGTTTAATCTACCCTCCTCAACTTGCTAATGGGATGGTTTCTGGGAACGTTTGATCCAAATCGTTAAGAAAATGTTAAGAAGAGTCCTGAAGAATGCTTCACTAACTTACGAAGAGATGCTTAGCTTATTTTGTGAATGTGAAGCTATAGTTAATTTGAGACCATTAACTTATGTATCCAAAGATTCAGATGAGTTAAAACCAATTACAATGTTCCTGCAAGAAATTCCAGAAGTTGGTGTGCCAGATCTTGACCATACAGACAAGGTAAATTAAACTAGAAGGTTACAGCACCAGCAAAGACTTCAGGAAGAGTTGAGAAAATGGTACGGTTTAGAGCAGAATATCTAGGAAATCCCATGCTCAAGCAAACAAATGTCATCTTATGAATTAAAAGTTGAAGACATAGTTTTAATCGAAAACGAAGATAAGAAGCGAGCATTTTGGCCTTTGGGACGAATAGTCAAATTGTATCCTGGTCAAGACAATAACATCAGACTGGTTAAAGTTATGTATCGAATGGAGAGATTTTAAGACCAATTCAACGCTTATATCCATTGGAAATACAACCAGAATCTAAAGAAAGTCCTGAAAAGGCAGATACTGAACAAGAATATATCCCTATGAGTCTTCAAGAAAGATGGAAAGAGAGAGTTACCAGAAGTGGTCGAGCTATATAAGTGCCTTCTAAATTCAAGGACTTTGAATTTTAAAATAGACTTTATGTGAACTTTAAAAAAGGCGTTTAACTGTAAAATAGACTTTTCAGTGAACTTCAAAATGAAATTTTAGGTTAAATTTTAGTTTAGTTAAATATTTGTTTTGATAAAAATCATGTTATCAAAAGGTATCAAAAGGGAGTATGTAAAGTATAGCATTGTTTATTGCATGCAACCAGTGTAATATTTTCCTTTTTAGTTTTGCTTTGAGGGGCAACAGTCGTAATTTTTTTTTTAGAATAAACTTGTTTGGTTGTGTTTAGATTCTTACAGAGATTATTTAGGTAGAAATGAGCTGATGAATGGACAAAATAGTGTACATTAACCGTCGTATCTAACAAAGTATCCTGGTGTCATTCTTGACCAAAAATTAACATGGAAAAAGCATATTGAAACTTTATCTTGCTGTCAAATGGATCAGGGATAATGGAGGACAGTATCCTCAAGGTACCTTATTTGTTCTATCTTTCTTCTCTTCACCTTTTGAACACTATTACCAGCTGCACAACTTAGTTATTGGATCCTTATTAACTGTCAGTGGTTTACAAAAGGAATTTATATCCACTTTGCTTATGTGCATCTTCATCATGGTTTCTATGGAAATGAAAGAGCTGATTTCTTAGCTAAAGATGCCTTAAATTTACCCATTGATATCAACATTAGCATTCCAAAGAGCTATTAAAAATCCTTTCATTATAAGAAGCTGTAAGTATTATAAGAAGATAAGTGGAATGAGGAACGTATTTCACCTTGTAATGCTGGGGTTCACTAAAAAGTTCTTTCCAAAGTCAAAAGATCACCAAAAAGTTCTTTCCTTCTATTTACCATAGGCTGTATTCCAAGCCTTTCCTCTCCATTAATTTTAAAGTTTCTCAGTTTTTATCCGGTCATGGTAAATTTGCAAGTTACCTGTTTCGTTTCAATATAGGATCAAACAATTTATGTGAATGTTCAAAAATACTGCCTCAGGATGTAGAACATTCTTTGTGTTCTTTACATACTTTGTAAAAATTATTTAGAAGTATGAACTTTGCACTTTTTTTTCGCTGATGCACAATAAAAAAAGAGAAAGGAAAATAAGTTACTATAAATTAAGAATTTGGCCAAGTGAATTTTCTTGGAGCAAATTGCAAAAAGTGCAGCAAGATAATATTTTTAATTTCTTGGCAAGTCTCTCACTATATTTTACAGAATTAAATATTTAGGCATAATCTGAATCATAGAATTGAAATACGGAAAAAAATTGATACATCATTTCAGAAAAAGTTCGATTTTGTGGCAAAATGCCTATGTTAGAACAATGCTATACAGTCAAAAGTCGTTAATTCGGACACCCACAATCCGGAATGATCTATAATCCGGACCACAAAGCTGCGCATGCGCGTCGTTGACGCATGCCCATTTAACGTATAATGGACGATAAAGGCTAAGCTAAAATTATCTAATTCAGTTAATGTTGCAGATTGCAATCTTCGAATTGGATTCGGCTTATTATTTTTTGCAGACTGTTAGAGCAATTTTATAAAAGTAAGCTTGAATTTTCGATTATGTCAAATAGAATTTCCGATATATATTTACTAATATGTAAAGGATCTACAAAGCGAAAGTATGTTTCGAACTCCATTAAAAAAAAAAGTGGAATTGCTGCAAAAAATGGATAAAGGCATATATCCTTTCTTTATCTAAACCATTCCGAAATATGTTTATCAATTTCACGCTGCTCTGCGGGCGGGGGGAGGGGGGGACACGCGGCATGCAATGAATTGGAAGTTGATCTGTCAGCACTATCCTTATCTTCAGGGCAGATGTTTTTATTTTATTTGGCTTATAATTCCTTACTAAATGTAGTATTTCATCTCGATGTACTCCGTCTTTGATATGATTTAAATCAAATTCCTCGTCATTATAATTCGCTTCCGATAGTGAAGAAAGTGACACAGAGGTTATTGAAAACGAAAAAATTTCGATTGACAAATTAGTCGGTATTCTCGACACAGCAATTATAGGACTTGAACAGCGGAACTTTGTAACTGAACAAGAAATTATGTCTGTTTATAGAATTAAAGAGAAAGTATTATCACAAAAACGAAGCAACTTAAACAACTTACATTGAAAGAAATGTTTAATAAAGTAAACAAATAAATATTAAGCTTTTTTTTTTTTGTAAATTTTGATACCCTTTAGATCATAATTGTTCTTTATTTCATAAATTACGGTTTCATATTTTTAATTTTATAATTTCTGCATACCATCTTACCAGATTTAAAGTGATGATCTATAATCTGGAAAATTCAATAATCCGGAATCTCCGAAGTCCCGATGAGTCCGGATTAACGACTTTTGACTGTATTATGCTATATTATAATATATATCCCAAGTCGTTTTATCGAGATATGAAAAATGCAAATTAAATTTTGTCATCGGCTCAGCAGAATGGGAGATATAACTGTCTCACGTTTTTTATATACACGGTGCATATTCAGTTTACTGAATTTTTCCTTTACCATGTTACAATCTGTTAATAAGCGAGTTTTGTATTTCCATTCATCTGGATTTTAAGAAACATTTTGAGAGTCACATCAAACAATTATAACTTAAACTGTGGATACTACAGCAAGAATACTGTTTTATATTTAAAATGGTCACTAATGTAGTGAACCAATATCTAAATTACATATAAACGCACTGTTATCCTGAATGTTTTGCATATAGATGTCCTCTACCTAGCCAAATACATAAAAAATAAGAGAACAAAAATTCAAAATACTAATTGTATATTTCTATGTACACTTGGGCTCTGATTGCAGCATAGGCACAAAAGGTATTTGCAAATGGACCCCCAATTTAAGAGCCAATTATTCATCCTACAGTTATTCTTAAACCTGTTTTTCTAACATACAAGACATTTTAAGACAAGGAAAGTATGAATTAGAAGTCCCTGAAAGAATGCTGTACTTTGGATTTCAGATTATCTTAATTGGGCCTCATGCATACTCATCTTAAAGAGAACACTGATTGGTAGCCATTTTGCAAATAAACCAAACACAACAGAACAATATTAGACCGAATGAAAATTTATATACTAGTAAATAAAGAAGAATGTTTGAAATTTCTTTCAATTAATATATAAGAACTGAATTAACTTACAATTTTATTTCCCTCTTATGATGCTAAGTTTACAGAATATTCAGAAAACAACTTTATAAATATAAATAACTATTTAACAACTTAAATAACTATAGTACACAATTTAAAAAATAACTTACTCTTACGCTATCAATATGAGGTTTAATGAAGCCATTTTTTGCAAGATCCAAAACATGCACTTCTCTGATCTGGGCACAATGCAAGGGAAATGCAAGGTTTCGTAATCTTTGAAGAATAATTTCATTTCCCTTATTCCATTCACTTTTTTCTGTTTCCTTATACCCTTGAATAGCCTGTAAGAAGGAGAGCTATTAAAACTGAATGCAGGACAAAGATTATGATTATGCTTAATAAGCACATGAATTACTGAAAGAATATACAATCAGTCTGTATAGTAGCAAGATAATAAATCCATAATACATGATGCCACAAACATTTGGAATCTGGGAAAAAGTGTTTAAAAAAAATTCACAATTATTTTTATATTTAATTTTTCAATTACAAAATTCATTCAAACTAATACATATTTCCTTCTTAATGCTTTCTAACTTGATTAGCTGATACATTTATTTGAAATAGACTGGATGATGTAGGCCAACTGTATAGCTGATAAATTTATAAATCAGACTTAAATTCACCATTTATATTACATGTTCTACTTGATATTAAAGAATACTACTATAATAAAATTTGAAATCCAAAATGTAAATACTTCCAGGCTAAAAAAAACTCAAGATTTGGAGTAAACATTAAAAAAAACATAGATTTGGATAACTGAGTTGGAAAATGTTTAGGAAAGAAAACATGCATCTTTGAAATATATGATAACTGATAAATAATAAAGAAGCTTATGATTTTCCTTCAATACTTTTTTAGTGCAACCAGACTTTTAAGACATTCTATCTGTATTCAACCTCAAATCTTACAACTGTATAAGAATAACTTTATTGTAGAAGAAAAATAATCAGTATATAAGTCTAATTTTCCCCAGATTTTAGAAATATTCTTAAACTTTTAAAGTACTGTTATTTAAATTGATAGTTTAATATTTAGATGCTTACGTATTATCTTATGAACTGTAAAACTGTCATTAAGCAGTGCGATTTGGTGCCAGTTATGCATAAGCGTAACATAACATCATACTCATAACATCTGCAATTTTTTTCGACTTAACAATGATTGATTCTCAATAGAACACATTTTGTTTTTATGAACAAGGATATAAATTAATTGTTACTGTTTAATTTTTTCATGAATTTTGAAAAAATATTAAAATTTGGAACCTACTGTCTGTAGAACACTACACAGTAGATTATTTTCAAAGTTATGGGATCCTCCCTTCAATAAAGTATGTACTAATGAACCTGATATGGTCAGGTGACTATGGCAAACAAACCAGCAATAGATTAGAACAATAACCTGAGGTAAGAATTTACTCATAGCATTCTCAACACGACTTTTGGCAAGACTGCAGGGCCTAATGAAATAGTAGAAGTGCCACAACTTTGACAGAATCTCCAGAAACTTTCCTGCTTCAAATGAAGCCAACTTTCATGGTCAGCGGGATAATACGTAAGCACCAACATTTATACAAAAAAATAATACTTTAATCATATTCTATAACTTTTTATTAAATGCTGAATTGATTCATACTAAAAGGATCAATTCATTTTAATCGTCATTGCAAAGAATACATGTGGCATCAATTGCTCCATTTCATAATAATAATAATAAAAACAACAAAGAGAAAAGAAATTAGCTCCATGAAACCGTTTTATTTTGAAGGAGCATATCTTAGGGTATTATTACTAGCAGACAACAAAGTCATCGAAGCATTTACCATACCAGAAGACAAGTTTAACATATTTTTGTTATATTCTTCTGATAGCAATTCATTGAAGAAATATGTTACCATTTGCTGCAGCTCTTTTTTGTTAATGAAGTATGTTCCACTGAAAAAAAATTTTAATTATGTGAAAAAATGGTAGTTACAGCAGGCAATGCCAGACTTTAAGATGGGATACTCCCAAACCTTGCATACAGGTTCTGAAACAGTTGTTGAGCAGTTGTGGCAATGTTCAGTTGAGTATTATCACATAGAATGGTTGGTTTCTCTTTAATCTCTTTCATATTTTATAGTTATGTGCTTGCATTGATGATCTCACCATGGGGAATACACTCAATAAGTGGATCATGTCTGTAACAGAATACAGTGGTCACTAAAAGATGGTAAAAAAGAGGAATTTTTTCTGGATAAAAAGGATCTATTGGCCTTCTTCAATTTGGAGAAGAACATGTATGATGTCATGCTTTGGCCTGTTATCAATGCACCTGAGGCATGAAACAGACAATTCAGTTTTAATCCTCAGCAGCAGTTTTGAATAAAGAATTATTACCTTTATTTGCAGCTGTGTCAAAAATATTAACACAGCTCCTACACATTTTTTTTTTAATTATCACTATTTGTGTGTATTTATACTCCTCAATAAGCAACAATAGTATCCACAAAATACAACATAAAAAAACATTTTTATGTTTTGGCAGCTGAGGATCATGGTTTGGTAAAACCATCAAAACTAGTCCTGTGAAAATTTGCAGATGTAATGCTGAGTTTTGTTGTTTGAATAAATTAATAACCATCAGTATGTTTGGTTAAAATTTATTCTATGGTACCCCTTGGCAAATTGTTTCTTTTTTTATATTTCAAGATCGGCGCCACGAAGGATCAGCACCAATTTCAAGATGGTGCTGATCCTTCCACCTGCTACACAAAACCAAAACAAGAAGTCAAACACAAACTCGCTGTCCATGTATACATTTTTAACTGTAAAAAAATCAGAGAATTGTATGAACTAGGCATTGTGCACTTCCTTAACTTTGTGCCATGTACACATCGATCTATTTTCACTTAACCAAAATCAGGAAACTAAAACAAAGTTCAAACTATCATGTTAACCTGAAAAAATTCGCCACTCTCTTAACACACAGAGACAAACAAATAACCAAAAATACATACTTCCTAACATAAAAACATTAAACAACAAATCTTTTAACAAATATGAACACATACCTGTTTTTCATATGCATACATTTAGGCTTCACACTACCATCTCCTCTATCCTCCACGTAAGCAATTCAATTGAATTTTTCATCGTTTTGGCTCATTTATATCTATCAGCAATTAAACCAGCTTTCATGCAAAAATCAAACGTCTTTTGTCCATCATCCAACAGATACAAAAACCTCAAATTCACAACAGTAGCAAGCAAAATAATAGAATCTTCAAAATACATGACCATACCACGTATGTACAACCAAACACAGCAACTGAAAAGAATGGTAATAATCAAAAACTCGGATCCATACCAAAGGGTTACCATTACAGCCAAAATCTAAATTTATCACAACAGGTTAGGCGATACTTGCAGAAATAACAACTTTTTAATGACAAAAACTAAAAAAAAACCAAAATTTTCCCCAAGGCTAGTTTTGCTAATATTATCAACATTAAGGTTACCGTAAAACTTATTTTACACAGGAGACTTCCAGATTTCACGAACAACCAATACCAATTGGCGATTTTTTCAGACAGAAATCAAGGGGTACCGTACAATAAATTTTAACCATATGTTTTAACTGCCATATTTTTGTTCGAAGGGAAAACAATTTATGCTCACAAATGCAAATCCCTTTTAATTTACTAGGATACAACTCACAAGGGATGAAAAAGTGTTAAACTTTCAGTCCAAAGTATCTTTTTAAACAAGGAATTCCTATGCTTATTATTAAACTGATATATTATAGTAATTACGGAAACAAATATTTAATTTATTCTAAAACTTACACCATCCCAATGATCAAACTCATAGCGACGTCTTCGAAATGTAGGTTCAATTTCTTTCAAAGCTCTACTTCTTCAGCCTCAGAAACAAAATTTTCATAAACTTTGAAGCTCTCATTAACTAATAATACAGCATCAGAATCTGAACCAGAGAAATAATACGGAATGCTAGGCACAGTTTCATTGAATACTACACATAAATATCGGCTATTTATGAAGGTCGTACTGAACTTGCAAAGTGTTCTTAGCAAACGTTTGGTGATATTGGTTAACATCTTCAGTTTTTTTTTTTTTCCAATTACTGAACACTAAAAAAAGAATTTAGTCTTTCAACCTCTCATAACTACAATTAATTCAGTTTCCAATGATGCATACCAGTGCACTGTATTAGCGGTCGCAAACAAAATACCCTGTGTATATATTTGTAACTTATAGTATGCTTACAAGATTAATAGCATAAACACATTTATAAACACTAGAAAAACACTGCACACACACAAAAAAAAGAAAAAAAAGAAAGAAAAAAAAAAAAAAGCGCAACAAAATAGGTTCAAAATGACATTTCATAAACAAATTTTTGCTATCGACAACACCGCTTTGGATAAAATCCCCATACACGATAAGTCTTTTAACCCGAAGAGTCTCCTTGAATATTCCGAAATATAATAATGAAGATAGACGCGATAAGAAGTTGGCCTAAATTGCAAAGACCGTTTAAGGTCTTAAGGTCGCATCTAGAGGATCCCAATCGACCGTCTGTTGATAAAATTTGTGAAGAGCTTGAAAATATTGGGCATAAAGTGAGAAAAGTTTTCCGCATGCACAGAATTAACTTCCTTTTTTCTCTCCTCTGAACCCGTGTTCTATCTGCCTTTCCTTCGCACCTAAGATGATATTTCGCCCATCGGTGCACAAAGACTTAGCGGGTGCAAAACAAGACATCTGTCTACTTTGTCTGTCTGTCTGATGGCAAATAATTACGCAGAACTGAGTGGTTACACGGAAAATGTTGCAACGCCACGTATTCCTCTTCTTTAGGCTTTGGACGTTTCCTGGCATTGTGGTAGTTTTAAAATGGTTTCATCTCTTTTATATGTGATTTGGAGCAATGAATGAACAAACTAAGCTTTATAAGAGCTAAAGTGAGAGAAATCCTATTAGTTCGAAATTAACAAGCTTATTTTTCCTGACAATAATTCCATGTGAATGTCGCATCAGATGTGTCTACTATTTAAATTTGTATTAGTATTTTGTATTATATGTGCATGCACCAACTACTTTGCTTAATCTAAACATCCCAGGTTCGGTCCTGAAAGGTCTAACATCTCCCAGGATGCCATGAATTAGTGATGAATTCTCGATTAAGTGAGAGAAACGTCGTTTATGCAGTGTGTAACAAGTCATTTAGACTAAAGCGCTATTTAAACTATCATATACATATCGAAACAGGAAAGAAACCTCATATATGAAGTCATTTAGACAGTATGGTTCTTTAGACAAGAATCTGCATGTACGTATAGGAGAAAAAAATGTGTGTGTAAGGTATGTAAATATTCATTTGGAAGAAAGAGCACCTTAATCATGAATAAGCTTAGACATGTGGGAAAGAAACCTTATATAATGATATGTAATAAGTCATTTACTCTAAAGGGTTATTTAAGAAACCATATACTCCTTCACACAGGAGAGAAACCCCATGTGTGTGAGAAATGTAATAAGTTATTTATTTGAAAAGCTCGTTTAAACATACGAGCTTTTATTATATTTATTTATAAGCTTGCTTGTCACTTTATACTCAATATTCTTAAACAAACATATACTTATTCACACAGGAAAGAAACCTTATGTGTGTGAGGTATGTAACAAGTCATTTACTCAAAAAATTCATTTATATAACAATATGCTTCTTCACAGAGGAGAGAAACTCCATGTGTGTGAGATATGTAAGAAGTCATTTACTCAAAAAGGAAATTTAAACAAGCATATGTCCCTTCACACCGGAGAGAGACCTCATGTGTGTGACATATGTAACAAGTCATTTGCTGAAAGATCTAATTTAAAGAAGCATATATTTATTCACACAGGAGAGAAACCTCATCTGTGTGAGGTATGTAACAAGTCATTTGCTCAAAAATATGATTTAAAGAAGCATATATTTATTCACACAAGGGAAAAACCTCATCTTTGTGAGGTATGTAATAATACATTTGCTGATAAACCTCATTTAAACAACCATATGCTTATTCACAGAGAAGAGAAACCATATGTGTGTGAGATATGTAAGAAGTCCTTTACTCGAAAAGGAAATTTAAAGAAGCATATGCCCTTCCACACAGGAGAGAGACCTCATGTGTGCGAGGTATGTAACAAGTCATTTGTTCAAAAATGTAATTTAAACAACCATATGCTTCTTCACACAGGACAGAAACCGCATGTGTGTCAGGTATGTGACAACTCATTTGCTCAAAAAAGTCATTTAAACAACCATATGTTACTTCACAGAGGAGAGAAACCTCATGTATGTGAGGTATGTAACAAGTCATTTGCTCAAAAAGGTGAATTAACAAGACACATGCGTATTCACACTGGAGAAAAACCTCATGTATGTGAGGTATGTAACAAGTCATTTGCTCATAAACCTACTTTAAACAGCCATATGCTTCTTCACACAGGAGAGAAACCTCATGTGTGCCACGTATGTGACAACTCATTTGCTCAAAAAAGTCATTTAAACAACCACATGTTACTTCACAGAGGAGAGAAACCTCATGTGTGTGAGATATGTAAGAAGTCCTTTACTCGAAAAGGAGATTTAAACAAGCATATGCCCCTCCACACAGGACAGAGACCTCATGTGTGCGAGGTATGTAACAAGTCATTTGTTCAAAAATGTAATTTAAACAAGCATAAGCTTCTTCACACAGGAGAGAAACCCCATGTGTGTGAGGTATGTAGTAAGTCATTTGCTGAAAAATGTAATTTAAAAAGCCATATACGTATTCACACCAAAGAGGAACTCCATAAGGTAAATTTGTAACAAATCGTTTGAGCCATAGAAAAATTAAGACTTGTGTTTACACATAATAAGAAGGCTAATGTTTTTTTGTGGAAAAGTTAGATTAATAAGAACCTTTGGTTATGTGTGCAGTAAAGACTTGTCCATGCTGTATAGAAATGTCTTTGTATGTTTTGTGTTCAACTTGTCATTTCATTTAAATTCTGAATAAATCATTTATTTCTTTTTGCAAGAGAAAAACGTGATGATTGTTAGATAAGTCACAAGTCATTTTAAACTGCTTGCTGATTTAAAGCAGCATTTTCTTATCCCGAGTATTTAATGAATAATGAAAGTTTAAAACAGCATATTCGAACAATCAAAAGTTAGACACTGATTGTAATTTTCTGAATAAGAAAATGTTATTGATGGCTCATTTCTTCTGTTCATGTAATGTCATGAATTGTTTGAAAGCTTGAAACGCTGAACATTTTAATTTGAATGGAAATTCCATTCATATTTTGCACTGTTATCCACTTTTCATTACATTTATCTGAAAAAGTACAAAAGATGAAATATATTCTTTTGTGGTATCTTTAGTGCTGTAAGATTTAAGTATTTCTGTCCTCCTCATTAGCATTTTTAATGTTGAGAATGCTTAGCATTGAGATTTTTGCAAGCTTATGTGTTCAGTATTGAATGTTTAAAACATTGAACTGCTTTCTTTGATGCCACTATGCAGCTTGTAGTGTTTTTAAAAGAAATCAAAATTTCTGGAGGAAGTAAGGTTTTTTTTTTTTTTTTTTTTTTTTTTTTTTTGTGTGTGTGTGTGTATGTGTGGTATTTACATGTTAATGCAGACTCCTTTAATAAAAGTTGCCGTATATGCCAAACTCTGGCAACATTGTGCACAGACATTCTTCTAGCAATCATGCTTATAATAATCCTTCAATCAAGTACTTCTGCCATTTTGTGTGCATTCATTTTTTGTTGTATTCCAATGTCCAACAGTTTTTATAAACAAATCATGATATTTTTGTCTTAGTTTTAAAATATGGCCTTGCAGAATTTGCGAGAAATTTTTCCACAATTCTGCAATAAAATTTCTGCAGAAACACAGAATTTTAATGAAAATTATGTAAAAGGAACAATAAAGAAATGTTTCTTTTTTCGTTAGCTGAGTGCTACATGAGCCAAATTCTCCATTTGTTTCGCAAAAACAGGTGTGTATTTTGGAAAGGAAAAAAAGTGCAAAATAACAACAGAAAGATTTGAAAAAAAAAAAGTGTTTTACTTTTTTATTTCGTCATGTAATCCTTATTTTGTAATTTAAAATTCTATTCTCAAGTATATCTTCTTTTGATGTATTGATAATTTTTACCAATTTATAATAAATATTGACAGTTTTGGAATCTTTCTGAAATTAGGTTGAAAACCACCAACTTGCACCTGATAAGTAACTTTTTATCTATAAAAAATTTAAAATATTGTGCTAAGGTTATTTCTTTCATATACAGTCAAAAGTCGTTAATCCGGACTCGTCGGGACTTCGGCGATTCCGGATTATAGATCATCAGTTTAAATCTCTAAGATGGCATGCAGAAATTACAAAATTAAAAATATGAAACAGTAATTTATGAAATAAAAAACAATTATGATCTAAAGGGTATCGAAATTTACAAAAAGAAAAAGCTTAATATTTATTTGTTTACTTTATTAAACATTTTTTTTCAATGTAATTTGTTTTAAGTTGCTCCGTTTCATGTGATAATACTTTCTCTTTAATTATAATTAACAGACATAACTTCTTACAAAGTTCCGCTGTTCAAGTCCTATAATTGCTGTGTCGAGAATACCGACTAATTTGTCAATCGAAATTTTTTCGTTTTCAATAACCTCTGTGTCACTTTCTTCACTGTCGGAAGCGAATTATAATGATGAAGAACTTGATTTAAATCATATCAAAGACGGAGTACGTTGAGATGAAATACTACATTAGTAAGGAATTATAGGCCAAATAAAATAAAAACATCTGCCCTGAAGATAAGGATAGTGCTGACAGATCAACTTCCAATTCATTGCTTGCTGCGGCGTCTTCCCCCCGGCAGAGCAGCGTGAAATTGATAAACAGATTTCGAATTTCGAAACATACTTTCACTTTGTAGATCCTTTACATATTAGTAAATATATATTGGAAATTCTATTTGACATAATCGAAAGTTCAAGCTTACTTTATAAAATTGGTCTAACAGTCTGCAAAAAGTAATAAGCTGGATCCAATTCGAAGATTAAGGAACAACGCAATCTGCAACTTTAACTGAATTAGATAATTTTAGCTTAACTTATAACCATGGTTATACATTAAATGCGCATGCATAAACATATTATGCACATGCACACATGCATATTCGCAGCCGTAAAGGTCTTGTGCGCATGCGTAAACGCTTATGCGCATGCGTCAACACGACACATGCGCAGAAAGTTTGCAGCTTTGAAGCCTGAATTATAGATCATTCCGAATTAACGACTTTTGACTGTATATATATATATACCTCTTTTTTTGCTCATGTGTCCGATACATTTATACTTATATATCCCTGTTTATTATCTGTTATTATCTGTTCTGTAGCTTGCAGGTCATTTTATTAAACTTGGCTCCTTTTTATGTTAACAGAAAATTTAAATATAGTTCTGTGCAGGGCCATACCTAGCGGGGGAGTGGGGTTGCAGCATGTAAAAGTGTGCAGGCGGCCGGATTCTGACAGTAACATGACTAAATATTTTTAATTCATTGTAAGTAATTTTCATATGTAAGTACTTTTTATGCAATTTCTCCTGTGTAAGTACTTAGTGAGTATGAAATAAAAAAAAATTATTAATGATTGAGCTTTTTCTTTAAATTTGACGGTGGCAAGCTTAAGAAAATATGCAGGCAATCAATGGCCCTAGTTGTGTGATTAGGGATAAAAAGTTTCTCAACTTCATTAAGCTTTCAATTGATTTTTGCATCTGTCAGTGCTGTAGAAAAATCCCATATGTATAACTATGTAAAAAGGCATTTGGAAAATATCTTTTTCATAAATGTAAAGAAGTTATCACACATGGCTACAGTCCCTGCTAGACGGGACTTTTCTGAGAAACGAGATTCTGGTAGCACTGGTTTAAACAGGAGAATTCCTAGAAAAAAGAGCACCGCCTGAAGCGAAGTCCCACCTAGCTACGGAAGACATGTTGCGGCTACGCAGGATTTTTTCAAACCTCACCGAAAATGTTTCTGGTCCCGGGTAGAGACAACCAATCAGACGAAATTTCTGCTTCTGAAGGATGACATGATCCCGATTTGAGGGATAATCGATTACTGTTTGGTGTTCGAGTCTTTGTAGTAAGTGAGAATGGTAACCTAGCTACGTGAGTTTCCTGGAATTGTGCGGGTTCTTAGAATTGCCCCTTACGACAACAAGTCCCGCGTAGCCGAAACATAATGTGATTGGGACCTTAGAAACAGTTATTTACTAAATGAGTCTTTGAGAAACATTTTGTTTTTAAATTGCGAGATGAAACATAATTTAAAATTTTCAAGGACACACACACACACTGGCTTTCTTTATGCATGTACCAAAGTAGAGTCTCATTAAACTGTAAGAAAAACTACCATAGTCCTTCTCTGATGAAGTTGAAGCTCTGAATAAGCTGATAGGAGAGTGTTCGTAGAGTAGCGTCTCGCCGTAGCTTTGAAGTATCTTCATACATGCGCAATGACACGCTTCGTTAACGTTATTGGCTGCTGTGCGTTATACAAAATTGTCGTTGTATTTATCAGATTGGCAACTAAAGACATGTTATTCCGCTAAATATTGTCACGTTGCAAAAGTCAAGCCTGAATAACAAGTTTGAAGCATAGAAGTTAGTTAAGGTGTTACTGATTTCTCATATTTAGTGTCATTAGTATGGAAGATGATTTTGTACGTTTGGAATGTTCAAAACCGTATTCATTCCGACGAAATGTACGGGCGCATATTACTAAGTGCCATGCATCCAAATTAGCTCCTGCATTAATAACTGTTCCCAAATTTACACGTACTTCTCCATTTTAACCCAAAATCCTCTAATTCTGCAACGCCATTGGCTGCTTAGAAATTCTGGGATTTTTGCTTGGATTACCATATTTGGCCTTTTATCACTTACTTGGCAAATAAAAGTATTCCAAACTAAACTAATCGTGTTGATAAGTATCAGTATAATAATGGAGTGTAAGGTAATTTTTAATTAAATTGATATAAATGTAATTTACAAAGCATAAAAGAGATAATAAATGAAATAACATAAACAAAAAATAAGTAAGCAAAAGTCAAAATTTGCCTTCAAGCGGAATTAATTTTAAAAAATCTTATGTTAAAACAAGAAACTTAGGCTGCATTTAACATAAAAGTTCTTTTGAAGAAATACATGTAGGAAAATATTTAAGTACAACCTCGTTTATCCTAATTATTGGGAAACCATTTCAGATAAGAATTTTTCCAAATGAGCTTTTATTAGTATTATTTTCGTAAAAATAAATATACAAATAAATAATTAAACATGCTATTTTTGAATTGAGACTGATATTTCAAGTACATTTATCATAAATTAAACTTAATTTTTTTTCTGAACCTTGCATTATCTTTGATAGCGCTGTAGGAAATTTTAATTATTATTCTAATTTAAATCATTTTTTAAGATATGAAAAAATGCTACATATACAATGAACAAAATTAAGTTAACAGTGCTCAATTAAAATGCATTACTATTACAAGGTAGTACTAGTATAATGCATTAGTACTAAAACAGTGCATTTTATAAAGGTGGGCTTAATTCATTAAAATTTTTAATGACCAAGTTCAGAAATCCCCTTTGTAACATCTTGTAAACTTATATATATTCTTGTGAAATGTGTTAATTCAGATACCTGAGAAGCATGCATAGTTGATTTCCAGATTTATGCAAAAAAACTTCCAGAGAATAAACAGCAGTTTCCACTTAAATGAATTTTAATAATTAAGGTGGGGCCATTGAATAACTATATCAACTTGCAATTAGTGCAGTTATTGAGAAAATGCTTTTTTTTTTTTTTTGGTTGTTGTTTTGTTTACATAATTATCTATAACAGTAAAAGTAATGTTAATTTCTCAAAATGCATTTTCTACAGAAATATTTTCCAGTTTTAAAAATTAAAGTATCACCATCATATTTAAATACTTTCTTCACTAATTTACCTACT